CTTAGGTGGAGCGACATTTGTACTTCCGGCCTCCGTGTTGTTAGGCACTTCGATCTTACTTCGAATAGTAGGGCGAGCTGGTTCGGAGATTCTTCTCGCCACCTCCTCTTCGTCATGTGTTCGATGTTGGTTGCTGCAAGGAACCGAGGGGTTTCTCCTGGAGCCCGCACCTCGGACCTCGGATCGGTGCTCCACGTGGGAAATTTGCTAGTTGGGACTCTCAGGCTGGCTAGGTTCGGGTCTATTCCTCAGGCTTTCTCTTTGAGAGGCAGGGGGTACGTCAGTCACCAACAACACCCCGGGGCGGGGTATGTCCCGAATTGGAGGCCAGTATTTGCGAAGTTCTCTCCCTGTGAGGCGGGGACTAGCACTGGTTGTTCGCTGGCTGGTTTGGTTGTAGTGGTGGGAACTGCTGCTGATACTGCTGATAAAAGTAATATTGCTGGAACTGATGAATCTGCTGCATCTGAATCTGCATCGTTTGGACACTCTGGACGAGGTTGCTGAACTGCGAGTGTCCAATCCCAAGGGAATCACGGAAGGATCTGAGAATGTGGTGCTCACCTGGGGAAGCGGGACACTCACCTGTTGGGCAGCGTGGGGTGCATACACTAATGAGACTCCAGATATGGTCAGAGGAATGGCAAACTGGCCGATTGTCACCAAGGGTCCTTGGCGAGCGACTATCTGCTGCTCTTGCCCCCTTGTGATGTTCATGTTACCCTTACCGTTGTGGTTGAAAGATGCTATTGAGGTTGAGACTGAGTTTGAAATTGTAAAGAGATTGGGATGACCTTTCGATTGTGTTCCCATAGACGGCGCCAATTGATGGTGCGCGATCTGCAAGCTCCTAGCTTTAGGATGATCTGGACCTTAGTCGGGTAGCGAGCTAGACCAGGCTGCAAGACCTTAGAGCACCCGGGGCAGTTTACCCGGCAAGGTCACTCCGATGCTTAAGTCAGTACTATGTTGTGATTGCGAGCTAGAATCTGAGTGCTAGAGAGCTTGGATGCAAGTAATTGCGCGTACCTAGACCATGTTGGGGTTGACGACTTTATATAGCCGAGTTATTGCGGGTTTCCCAGAACAGTTCCGAGATCTACGGCTTGAATGGGCGAGATCCGTTCCCGCTTTTGTCGGGAAGTAACGTATTAGTCAATGAACTTCATTATCGCCGCTCGATTCGGACGGGGAGAAGATAAGGCTTACCGTTATGCGGTATGATCCCGCAATGTCCGAAGTCTGCTAGGAAGCTACTAGGATTTATTACGTGTCACTTCGGTTCCTGGGCCCCAAACTTGATTAGCAGCTGAGGTGGCATTACGCCGAGGTGAGTTGTTGTCGAAGTGACTTTACGCCGAGCTCCGCATAGCGCTGACTAGGATCCCCTTGCTGAGTTGTCATCCTACATGCAGATCGCGTTCACATGACTTTTATTTACTAGATCATGCCAAATTACTCCTCATCAGAGATAGAGATAGAGATAGAGATAGAGATAGAGATAGAGAGAGAGAGAGAGAGAGAGGCTTTTAAACATGGGGCAATTTGGTCCCAATAAAGACTTTTTTCTTCTCGCTATTTGTTTTTGCAATTTATTTTGAAACATATCTAATTTTGCCAATTCAACAAACTTTGTTAATTTTTATGCAAAAAACCCTAAAAAGAAAGCCTAAATATTAAGGTTACAAAGTTAGAATTTGGAAAATTACAAGAATACAATGCATACATGGAGGGTATCATGACCTGATGGGCCAGGTCAGCCAAAACCCAAACCTGACTTGAATTTAAGAATCAAAACCCTAACCCAGCCCTACACCTAAATAGACCTAACCTTAAATCCAGCCCATAGGGTTAGGTCGGTTCAAGCTGGGTTTACCATTTAACCTAACCTATTGGCATCACATATTTACTTAAACACGTTTAGAAATTCACATATTTACTAAAACCTACCATATAGTTTACATATCATTAAAACACCCTTGTCATTTGCAACTCCTTTATCTAAGCCACCATTCATCAGAAGTTGCTTGTATTTAAGTTGGGAATGGTCATGTTACCCCTTAAAAGTGATTGGAAAATGCGAAAGAACATAAGTCCTGGGAATTTTATTTTTTTCCAAAAATGCCTCTAATAATTCTCATATCATGTGCACTCCATGCCTTCTCTAAACCAAATTATGAGGGGAGGGTTTTATTTTTAAAAGGTTGATATGAGATCCACTAGGAGTATTTTCAAAGTAAAAAAAAAAAAAAAACCTGAACAAATGACTTTTTTTTTCATTTTCAGAGGTCATATGTCAATTTGCAAATGGAATAAATAGGTTTTGGTGAAAGGTCGATTAAGTAAAGCAATTATAAACTATAGGGTGTTTTAATTAATAATATATGCAAACTAAAGGATAGATTTTTATAAGTATGTGAAACTATAGAAGGTGTATAAGAAATGACCCATAAATATATTGCACCAATGGGAAGACTTGGGGAACAAAAGTCTCCTTTTATGCCTTGTTTTCTTCCCTACTAATCTCTCTGTGCAACATAACTACATCTATGAGTGAAAAACAGAGTATCTGCAACTTGTTCCTTGCCCTCCCATTCAATTAACATACGATTATTTTCAAAAAAAAAAAAAAAAATAGACATACCCTTGCTTCTCAACCCATCCAAAACTGAAATTAAAAAGTCGTGTTCTTAAATTTCTGATTGGAAAAACTTGTTTTCATGTTACATCATCATGTTTCATATATCATAGTGCTCCAAAGTTTCTTTCGTTTTCAGAACTGATATTTAATGCCTTAATGGTTTCAAAAACTTGAATGTTTTTTTTTTCTTTTTTTTATAAATAAAACCAACTTGTTTAGCTAACACTGTGATTTCAAAAACGAAAACCCTCATTAATTTGTTGGCCTTTCCTTGAAATGATGAATATTGAATGTTAAAAATCTCATTCTTACCTTCGATTTTAGAAACTTTTTCATTAGAAGACAAAGCAAGAAGTTTTTCAATTCAGCTGTTATCAAATGGCCCCTTAATTTGGAGATTCAATTTTGTCATAAAGTATAAGAAAAAAGCGGAAAAAAAAAAAAAAAACTAATGTGACAGTGATTATTGGGCAGACCAATTGAAACTATGGAGCAATATGATACTTTAAATAGGGCAAATGTTGTGGTGCATAAACTACAAACCGTGAAGAAAAAACATGAAACAATGAATTAGTGTGACACCTTTGATGTTTTTTAATGTCTTTGACATGATTGATAAATAGCCCTTGTAAAATAAGTAGACTATGTAATACTTTTAACATAATTAATTGATATCAAGATTTAATATGTCACAAATATATATATATATTAATAGCCTCTACTCTCAATGCTGAGATAGAAATAGAATATACTATTAGATTGTAATGTGTATGTTATATATATTTTCTGCATATTAAATCAAGATTTCAAACAATTAGATCAAAGCTTACTTTTCATTGATTATGTTTCATAAGATGTATTTACCATTAAAACTTTAACAATATTAAAGATGCTTGTCATTCTATCACTAGTTTTACATTTTTTTATTCTGCACCATAGATTTTGCTTACTTTATACATTTAAGGTTCTTTTTGCCAAAATCAATGAAGTAACGAAGTCAACAAAAAAAAAAAAACCATTAGAAAAAACATGATTAATAGAAATTTAGTACTGGAAAAACCCTCAATGAGGTTGTATCCACTTTAAAATTTAGAGCGCCCCTCTCTCTCTCTCGCAATTTTTAATTTTATAAGATTTATATTTTTCCAGTTGTACATATAAAATTGCATGTCAATCAATCTATATAAATATAAATTAGTGCAATATCTCAACATTGGTCGTTGATGTTTCCTTCCAACTGACAAGTGACGACAAAAGCTGTACGTGTTATTGGGCCTGACATCTAATCCCTTTGATGGGTCCCTTGTTCTAGAGCACCTTTTCCTTATCTATGCTTGAGACTTTCTAGTGACAGGCCCAGGGCCCAAAGTTGAGTTCATGTTGGGCTGTTGGCCGAGCCCATCTCACTTCTCTCTTATTTCTTTTTTCCTAAGCTGGGATTTGTTGCGTCTACTAAGCTTATTTTCACCAACTATTTTGGATCTGCCTACCTCAGCAGTCTGGAAGGAGTAGGACAAAGATCTCATAATTTCTCTAAGGGGCTGATGCATGCATGCACACCAACCATATAAACTTAAACTAGCGTGAGTCAGATGTATCAGCAGCCATGACCCATGAATTAATAAAAAAGAAGAAAGTTAACAGAAAAAGAAAAGCTACCAGCAACATGTACAATTGCACACTCTTCCAATGGTGTACAAAGACGTCGAGATACAAATTTTGACTTCAGAAATAGTATTTTATATGGTTTTAGTCATAAAAGGACGAATCAATTTATTAAGAGACCAATCGTCTCCTCACTTTAAAATATTTGCACAACTACTGAATTAATAATAGAATCATGCATGATCTGGAATAACTCTTCCATCCTTTTGTTATTGATTTGGTTTGTTCCTCTGGTTATGCCCTTTATTTGTTTCTTCTATTTGCTGTGAACAAAGTCAAAAACATTGTCTCAGGCCTGGAGGTTAATCAGCTAAATCAAATGGGTAAGGATCATAAATGTGAATGAATGATCTGTTTTAGCCTTTCTGAAGTGTGACGAAATTTCAACCAGACGGGGGTTGATTAGTTTACTTAAATCAAACTCGAGAGGGAGACAAATTTTTGTTTGGTTGATACAAATTACTGTTGAGTTTCTAGTACTTGTAACAGAGAAAAATAAATTGCAAATCTGCTCATTAGTCTCTATCAAGTAGATGAACACTCTCAACTAACCTGAATCTCTATTTACAATTGGAGAAAGGGATACTTCACTTAGAAAAACAGTTTAACCAATGGATATCAGTGATGATTGTCAATTTTGAACATAAAAAACAGAAAAGTAGTACACCCTCCCCCATCTGCTTTTGCCAAACATATGACTTCAAAGCCAATATTAAAACTTGTTAGTCTTCTACACCCCCTCCCCACCTTCCTCCTCTCACTCAACTCAACTCAACTCAATCGCCATTGAAACTCACCATACGTAGGTACCATGGAAAAGAAGAAGAGGGCTGTCCTCTTTGTTTTCAGGTTCCTGGCCTTTGCTGCAGCAATTTCTGCCACCATTGTCATGGCGACAAGCAATGAGAATGCTTTCTTTTACGGCATAGAGTTGGAGGCAAGCTATAACAACTCGCCTGCCTTAACGTAAGTTCTCTGCTTGTTCACTCAGTCGTCATCTCTTCTTCCTTGCGCTGGCTACTGAAACTAAGCTTGTCGTTGTTGCAGGTATTTTGTCATTGCTTATTCAATCGTAACTGTTTATGGGTTTCTCCTCCTTTTTCTACCTCCGTCTAGCAAGCTCTGGCAATTCGTGGTGGCCGTCGATGTGGTAATATAACAGTTAACAACTACTGTGTTTCTTGCTTGAATTAATGCTTTATCATTTGATCTGAAACTAATTAAGGTAGCGTGGGTTCTGGGTTTTCTAGATTGCCACAGTGTTGGTCACTTCCTCCTTTTCGGCCGCCTTGGCAGTAGCTTATGTGGGCAAGCAGGGAAACTCTTCTGCGGGTTGGCTGCCTATCTGCGACCAAGTCTCCGACTTCTGCAAACAAATAGCAGGAGCTCTAGTTGCAGGCTTCGCTGCCATGATTATCTATACAGGGCTCCTCCTTTATTCCATCCACACTGTTCTGGATCCTCTTCTTGTATTCGATTAGGTTCTCAGAGAAACGATTCGCCCGATAAAGGATTGTACTGTGATTAATTATAATATATGTTCTCTGTAAGATAAACTTTGAAATGGTGAATCGGTTGAATAATCAAATTTTGTTACAGGGTTAATGCCATTAATGTGGAGTTGGTTAAGTTAAAAACGCTATTAAAAACCCTACTATATATGAGCAATATTAGGCTTGCACTGCAAATTTGTATCGCTAGCTAGCGTTTCTAGGGCGGCCTTATGTAATTTGCCATTTGTCCCAGGTTCCCATTAATTAATTACGTCTCAGTAGAACCCATAGAGGAGATTAATTGGGCCAAATTAAATCAGCTTAAAATACAGTTCCCCAAGTTCTTTTTTTTTCCCTATAATTATATATTTGGAAGTTGAGTCTTGTATTAGAACTCTTGGAATATAATGAAATCATCAGTTGGTCAACTACTCGCATTGGTTCTGGCAGCCTGTCTCTAGTCTCTCCTAGGAAGGACACATCCAGTGTTTAGGTTCTATTAGAACTCTTGGAATATAAAATAGGGTAAAAGAATTAAACCTTTTCACATTGCACATTGTTTGCAAATTTATATATATATACCAAGTAGTAGAGTTTGCCACATCAGAAGCCTTCTTCCTGCTCCATTATTCAAATCGAGCAATTTTAGAACACTCGGAATCTACTCCCCACAAGTTCAAGTTGTTCCCACATCCATATCCATATAGTATCATCACCATGTATTGGGAACATCTTCCTATGAATGACAAAGGAGATATTTCCAATGCAAAACTGTAATGTCTTGTGTGTAGAGATGTGGGAACAACTTGTAGATAGCAGATCCAAACCCATTCTAGAGGGGGTGCAAAAAGATACCATCTAGAAGCACATGGAGTTGCCACCTGGCATGGCAATCTACCATTTCTTGCCCCTTTAGCGGTTGTTTGGTATCGATGGTATTTATAAGATAAACGTTTTATATAATTTTGTCATGAAAAACGAGAGAAAATCTACTTTAAACATGCTGAACTTTTTTTATTACACCTCAGTGCCATTAGGCGCCATAAAAGCCAAACAGTGAAAATTCGTATTGAGAATGAAAAACATCAAAATTGGTGTATTTTTAATAAACGGTTTACACAATTTTTGAGAGCGGCTCAACCAAATAACTTTTTAGGCATTTTTTTGTTAAACACATCTTCAATGCTAAGCTGGCACCGTTTCTTCGAGAAGCTACATCGATACCAAACACCATCTTAATTTACGGAGAAAATCCGGCATGATTTTGAATTTAAAAAGAAAACAACCCAACACCATTCTGAATTGTGATAAAACAAGAAGAAAATAACCCCACGATTCTTTCTATCCTCTTCTACCTTCCTTAACCACAGTGGTTTCTTCACAGTTTTTTGGACGAAGTAGGGGTGGAGCATTCAGCCATTCACTGACAATTGTTCACAAACGTTTGCCACTTTGGTATTTTTACTCAAATGTATCAGTCTTTTTTTGAAAGATCCTTGCCTTCCCAAGAAGTTAATTATTACCTTTTTCAGATTTCTAATTGCCCCTTTCTATCTTTCTACTGAAACACATTACCTAGGAAAGAGATTTTCACTTGATTTTTTCCAATTTCTTGCCAACCATTGGAGCATCTCGCACTTATTGGATCTGGTCGCAGTTCATCTCTCTTCAGATTTTCTTACAAAAAATAGGTATGTTCTAGATTTTTTTTTGTTTTTTTGGTCCATTAAATGCATTATTCTTGGTATTTTTTTAACGTCTGGCATTCGTTTAAACCATTGAAATGGCATCTATTTCTCTTTAAACCACTCCGACTACTTTTCGTCGTGTTCACATCTGTTGTGCTGTGTTTACGGTTTTAAGCGAATACAATAGACAAAACGCGGTGAAGAAGACGATCTCCATATTCGGGTACAAATTGGGTTTATAGAATCATACTCGGTCCATTTAACTTAAGTCACGTGGCTTAAGTTAAATGGACCGGGTGCTTATAAGTGGAAAACTAACCCATATCTAGCCCGTTTTAATTGTTGTTTACTATTTATTAAATAGTTAAATAGATAAATATTAATTAGCAGTACCAATTAACCGTATTAATTTATTAATAGTCTTTATTAAAAAAATTAAATTTCTTGTGAAATGTAGGTCCAAGCCTCCATCGTCTCCACTATAACAGAAATCAGTACCGGAATTGTCGATGTAAAGAGCTTTCCTCTCTCCTTCCCTTCATCATTCATCCGTTCACCAACCCAGACCGGATTGAATCACATAACTAACACCCGAAGTAACATAACCAATAGAAGAAGGAGAAGCAGGGAGCAACAGTTGAAAAGATGCAAATGGAGTATAAATCTCGGTTTAAGGTAAATTTGCATTATGATTCACTTTTGTTTGTATTTGGCAACATTACATTTTTGCATTGACAAATAATAAACCAATGCATATTTACATTGATAATAAGATGTAAAAGTACATCAATAAAAAAGAAATAAATTTGCATTCAAGTGAGTTTTTGATAATAAAAAAAAAAAAAAAAAAAAACATATGCTTTATTGGAATTTATATTTGCATCTATTACAGCTAAAAGCCTGTTTGGTAAGAAGGTAAATTTGTCAATGCAAAACTAAAACTTTATAATTTATATGAACCATTTTACACTCTACATATCTGCATTCACACATATTTGCATCGTTTCCAAATGCAGCATAAGGAGTTTCGTTTGCAGGATGAGAGGACACAACGATAGAACTTTTAAGTTTTATCCCTAACTTCATTCTCTACAGCACCACTCTGCATCGGAAAATGACCCTGGAAACCAAACTACAACTCAACTAACCTGAGTTAATGTTGGGAATAATCCTTATATTTTTCTTTGTGAAAAATCACAGAAATTTTAACCACAAATATCAAGAAATTTTAACCACAAATATCAAGCATGCAATAATAATAAAACAAATAACAAAAAACAGAGCAAGTAATAATAGTAGACACCAAGTTTTTTTACATGAAAAACCCCTCACACTACAAGAAAAATGATCTTTAGCTATGGACAAAATTGTAGCTAAAAATCCAAAAAACCATAGCTATAAGTTTATAACTACGGACTAGCTACGGTTAGAAAATAATAGCTACAGTCGCAGTGGCTATAGGTAATAGCTACGGGTGCTATCATCCGTAATTAAAGCTAACTTATGGCTATAGTTTATGTCTATGGCTAAAGACTGATTCAATAATTATATGTGACGTTTTAGCTACGATTTTTTAGTTAACCGTGGCTACAAATTTGATACTATAGCTATGGTTTGTTTTACAACCATAGCTAAATGTTGCTCTATAGGTACGGTTTCAAAATGCATGCTCGAAGCTATAACATTTAGATCTATAGCTACGGTTCTGAGACCGTAGCTAAAAATATAAATCTATAACTACAATTTATTTTGACTGTAGTTAAAAGTTAAAACTATAGCTACAGCTTAAGTAGTCTGTAGCAAAAAAAAAACATGAATCATAGCTATGGTTTTTAACTATTCGTAGCTAAAATTGTTGATATATGGTTGATGGCATTTTTTTTTCCTGTATCAAATACAAGCACAACATATTCCATTTATAATAAAAGATGAAGCTTGAATTCAAAATTCCAATAAAAGATTTTATAATGAAAAAATGAATTACATCTCAAGGTGTTTTAATTGAAAATAAGTTAGAAATGAAAAAAATGTGATTTCTATTACAAGTTCAAGGTTCTTGAATACATGAAACTCAATCCCCCCCCCCCAAAAAAAAAAAAACTTGACGTGTAAAATTCGATCAAATTGGTGGTCAGCCGCACATGTGAAGTTATCTCCTTTAGCATGTTTAACCTATAAGAAAATAATTGAAAATAAGTTAGAAATCACATTTTTAAAGATATAAAATCATGTATGAAAATATAATTATTAACTATGTAATATAAATTTACCTACTTCATTCCTAGCCTAATGTTTAAACAAATTAGAAGTACAAGGATTGAATATCAACCACATTATGCATTGAGCAATATAATGGCGTGGCAATGTGTATTAATTTCTGTTTTACCAACAAATAATTAAAATCAAGTAGAGAACTTAAAAGCAACAACTAGAGGTGGACTCTTTAAGTGCACAAATGAGTGAAATGCAACAAGAAAATAAACAGTTGAAAAAAGAAAAAAACAAGATTCAACTAAATGGTGTCCCACCAAATCAGGGGTTCTGGGAGAGAAGGCTACTTTGATTTGACCCGAGTGCCTGAGCGATAAGTGAGTGAAAGTAGTGAGGCAGAGCAGCACCACTCCCTTAAGTCTTAGTCGGAGCTTTCACACTCTGTTTCAGGAAGGGAAACCACACAATGAGTTTGGGGTCTCAATCATACATCAATCAAAAGTGCCAGTTAGCACCGCCTCCTTTGTCTCTAACTTTAATTCTTTCCTGCCACCCTATAATAGACAATCTATACAACCATCTCTTGAATTGTAGGATGTAGATTCAGGCCTCATGAAGCAATTCTTTGAATTTTATAACAACAAAATCTAACCTGAGCCCCATGCTCCTAGAAATTCAATTGCTCCAATCCAGATAATTGAGGTAGATGCTCTAACACTAACTAAATGCCCAGGAGGAATTGCATGAAGCAATGTTGCTTTTGAGTTTTGATGGAACAACTTTTGGCATTGGGGAGTCTTCTCTAATGGGAAACGGTTGGAACTTGGAAACTAAACACCACGTACATTGGCCATTTGCATTCAGATTTTGGTTTCCTGGAAAAAGAAAAGAAAAAGGGGGTTAGTCTGCAAGGTACTCGTTCTCTTGCAGCCTTATTAGGCCTAGTAAAAGTAATCACACCAAAAGCAATATTAAAACCATCATCTCCAACTTGGGCTAGCGTTTTCCTGTTACTGTTGGTTTGATTATGAGTTAGTTTGGATTGCCAATGGTGATCAGATCTCTGATTACAATTTATGGCTGGATTTTGGCACATTTAGAACCACACAGACACCTTGAAGATATATTTTCTTCGGCATTTATGGTATGAGGTACCACAGATTTGAGATTGCTGCTGGCCTACTACAATTACTCATGTGGGTCAGTCCATTGGAATGATCTACCAGATCCCTGCATCTACAACAGATAAGTGATCACTATCGCCGACACAGAATTTACTATTGTAGGATTTTAGTAAGTTTACCTATGACTGATTTTTGGTTGTTTTAAGATCCAAGTGCAATTTGGGATATATCTAGTGGCAACCATGATTGGCAGTTCATTTTCTTTCCATTTTGCATTACCCTCTCATTTGTTATTTCTAGTCTCCTAAAACAATTGATTTGGACCACACAATTTGCCATTCTTCATGACCAGACCACTGTAGTATTCAGCTTCCTTGTTGTATTCCTTGCTTCCATTACCATGTGCCTTTGTTTACATTGAACTGGACAGTTTTCAGTTAGCCACTTAATGGTTGTCCTTGAGTCACCTTCCACTATAAAATTTTTGCACCCAAATGACTAGCCCAACTTTAGTCCCTAAAGTACTGCAATTTATTCAGCTTCTATTGATTTCTTTTACTTGATTAGTCCTAAATAATAGCAGTCACCCCTCCTTCATGGTTTCTGAAAACTCCTCCAATGCCTAAAATTCCAGGATTGCATAGACTACAACCATCAAAGTTTAATTTTAAGAGATTCGTTGGTGGTGGACACCATTCTGCCCTCAAGAGGTTTCAATTCCCTGTTTAGTTCTGAAATTTTAAACTCATTTTTTTATCAATAACAAAGCTATGACTGAACCATCATCCATCATGGTTACATTAGGCTATGGGAGACAGGTTCAGGTAAGATGGTTTGGGAAACAAATAAACCAGGTTCAGAACAAAGGAGCAGGTCTGGGAACTCAATTTTACAATGGAGACTGATGGTGGCTTCATTGGTCCTACCCATCCCCTTTAATCACAAAATAACAAAACTAAATTACACATAACCCATTTATTTGCAAAACATCCCCTATTTGGTTTTATCATTTTTCTTGTGATTTAAGGAAATAAGGCCCATGACACTCCTTACCAATAACACTAGCATTTTCTCTTTAATGAAAATGTACTTCATTACAATAGCAAGTAGGCCACTTAGGTGGGATATGCAAGTATTTTCTTATCAGAAAGTCATTACTGTTTGGTTAGTTGCCTGCAGTGGAAAGGAGAAGAGGAAAAAGATTAGCTTTTGTAGAAATTTAAATGCATAGATTTTGGAAAGGGTGAATCCAGTTGTTGTGAAAACCATGCCTTCTTATGAAGACTATTCATTGTGTACATTGTGTAAGTTGGAATCAATCTTATTCTGCAGACACCTGGACTGGTAAATGTGGATTTTGTCTCTACGTTGAGCAGATTTTTAGGATTTTGTCTCTATATTGGTTTTCTAATATTCTGTCCATTCCTTTGGTACAACTTCATCTCAAATTATTGGAATGGGATTTGCAGGTTGTTACTAGCTTGGCCGATCCTCCTACTAATATCTCAAATCCACACTTCACAATATCTGCTTGTTCACCTAAGGCACTCACCAATAGACAATTGTTTCTTGAATATATTAAATTGAAAAGACACTTTAAACATGTCAGTTTTACCCATACAGTGTTGCTCCCTCCATACTATTGATGATATAAATTTGAGCCAAATGAAACTTGCCACAGCCTAATGGCTACAAATCCTCTTTGTCCATCCATTTTCATCTCATAATACTATTTGCAACCGGTTACATGAATCCTGTTCTACCTATCTACTCTCTTTTGGATAATATCTCTATTAAGTAACTAGCTTTCATTTTTTTTTCTTTTTCTCTTTCTTTCACTTCAACCACACCTTTACTTGTGTATCCTTCTATCATTCAGTATGTTTCTAAGCTTCGCTATGTCAGAAGTTAAAAAAAAATAAAAAATTCTTCGTATATATGGGCCTATAGAGCCAAAACAAGCCTCAGAATTGTGCAACCTCAGAGCCCTAAGTAAATAAATCAAGTACCATTTTAATCACCAAGTCTTACAACCCACCCCATAGGTATTCTATGTCAGAATAGAAATAAATATGTCGATGAAAATGTATACATTTAGGAAACCTTGTTCTTTTTCAACACCCAAAACTCTTGTACAGCTGAGGTGGCACCACTAAATATGTTGTTGCATTTATCTGAGCAGAACTAGAAAAATAAAAAACAATGTCGAAGCGAATGAAGTAGAGAGCCAAAAACAGAAACTTACATCAACAATGGCACCAACGGCCTCGGTTAGAGTAGGCGAAATGTTGAGCAAATCACGTCTGATCAGATTTTGTGAACAGTATCATTAGTAGCAGAAGATTTAGATTGAAGGAAACTAAAAATAAGAAAAATAGCGAAAATGAAGTGATAATGGTTATTAGTAGGAGCCTGCAAAGGGATTACAAGTGTATCTTCTCATTAGACTCTTAACTGGCTTCTGAACAAATGACAGTTTGAGGTTTTGTGAGAAGATGATTGAAATTGAAGAGAAAAACAGATAACCTATAAAAAATACAACATATTACACAGGAAAAATTGCAAAAACAAAAAAAAAAGAAACACAGATGGGTTTCTTCACACGCTACATGAAAGGTTACTGACCTGGAATCGATCTTCCTGTTCTAAACCAAATGTTGGTAGACCTGGAATCGCTATCATCTGCTGAACTCCAGTCCTTAACAGTGAGTAAATGACAAGACAACTGCTTAGACAATGCTGAATGGGTGGTCGGAGCGGTCGAGGGCTATGAATGGGTGGCCAGATCAATGAACAGTGGTGGTAGTGCTAAGTGAGAAATGAGAATGAGAGAGGCTGAGATTAGGGCTCGATTAATAGGGCTAAGCCACTACGATGGCAGAGAGAGGAAAGACAAAGAGCGGGAAAGGGAGAGCAGACCGTAAAGACGAAGAGCAGGAGAGAGTTTCAAATAGAACAAAACCCCTCGCATTTGGGGTTGTCAATGGGTTGGTTTTGCTAGACCAACTGAACCGAACCAAACTGATTATGCCGGTTCGGTTCTTTCCCAATTAATGTAATATTTGATTCAATATTTTTGGATTATAGAATAAATTAATATAATTTAAGAGTGGATTGTGTGGAAAATACTTTTTTTTATTGATTTATTATCCATTTAAAATAAATTAAATCCCTAAATTCAAAGTCTATTATAACATATATCTTTTATTCTACCTTAAAAATTTTAATATAAAATATTAGGATTTGATGTCAAAAAAAGGTGTTTTTTTTTTTCCGCAAATATAACAGGGTAAGGTGTGTTAGAATTTTGGAACATGTAGATAGCAAAATAAAATAAAAACAAAAGCAGATCATCCCCATAGGACAAATCAAGTTCAAAAGTTTACAGACAAGATAAATTGAAAGTATAATTAAAAATTTGAGAAAATTGATCAGGGTTACACAAAACCTGGACCGATTCATCGGTTCTTAAGATGGACCAGCTAGGTGGACTGTTTTGGTCCTTTTTTTTAAGAGAACAAGGCTAGCGGTAGGATCGAACTAGTATATAGACCACCGACTAGCTAGCTGATTTAATTGGTTCACCTTTCTAAACATTGGTAGTGTGTATATGTTTTATTATGTTGAATAAATAATATGGTTTTGAAATATATAGAATAAATAATATAAATAGATCTTATTTATAACTTTTTTAGTTTCTCATCTTTTATAAATAAAATAGCTAAAAATTACATTTTGAGGAAAAAAAGGTTTTCTTGGCAAAATGGGTGAGCCAAGGTGCCTTTGGTCCATGAAGCACATACAATTATTAATTAATTAAGTATTCATTTATTAAATAATTAAATAATTATTATACTATTACTTTATAAATAATTTTTTTATGAAATTAAATAATTTAGTTTAATTGTCAATATTATTTTCATTGATAATTAACTATTATTAATTTATTTAAATTATTATTTTGTTTAAATAATTAAATTATTTTTTATGATTAGTTTTAATTAATTAAACAATAGTCAATATTTATTTATTTATATTTTAGAAATTACTATCTTTTTATTAATGTACTTATGAAATTGTTAATAATTTATTTGATAGTTTAATTATTATTAAATAGCAATCATTAATAATTAAATATTATTTTGTTAAATATTTACTTTTTTATTAATTTTTATCTGTTTATTAAATATTTATTAGTTTATTAATTCTTAATATATTTATTGTTTTATAATATTTTCTAATCAATTTATAGCCACGGATAACTATTATCTGTGGCTATAGTTATAAGTAGCTTTTACCCACAAATAAGAGCTTTAGCTACGAACAAAACGACCGTAGCTATAGGTCTAATTCTACTTTTGTAACTTATAGCCACCGATATTTTAAAACCGTGGCTATAAGTATCTTTTAGCTACGAACAAAAAGCTTTTAACCACGGGAAAAATGTCCGTAGCTAAAGTTCATCTTTTTGCTACGGACATGAAATTGTGGCTATATCCCATGTTTTAATTTTAACTACGGTTTTTTACAACCGTATCTAAACTTCAGTAGTTATAACCCCATTTTCTTGTAGTGTTAATGTGAGGGTAAAAACCACAGGATCAAAATCCAAATCATCCACTATCAGTAACAGCAATGGGGTATAATGTTTTTTTATCTAGTTGCAACTAGATGATGAACATCAAGAAAACTCTTGAATACCAATAATAGAAAACATCATTAAAAATGATAACAAACATGAAATCTCTCACCAAAGGTAGAAGTACTGCAATGGAAACAATAGGAGATGCTGAAAATGGATTCGTCTTCTTCGTTTCATCCCTTGTAATTTTTCTTTTTTTCCCAAAAACTTTTTTCTCTAAACCCCTTTCCTATTCTTTGATATTTTCTAGAGAGCTGTTAGAGTTGAGAGAGTAGAAAGTAGAAGTGATCTCTCTCCAATTCGTTGGTTAGCCAAGGACATATTAACTTACCTTGCAAGCCAATACAAAATGTCTCTTGATTTTCTGTTCCTTTCTTTTTTGTCTTTTTCTTCTTTTTTTTTTCTCTATCTTTATTAGTGGGTCTCACCTCATAAAGAGGGAACCTCAAAAGCTAATAACCCAAAGAAAGAAAGATGAATAGAGATCCTGGCAGAGAGAGGTGAGTAAGTGAGTATATGAACAGTAGTAAAATAGAATGAAATTAAAGAATTATGTTAAATTTAGAAGGGGATTTGGGATTTTGCTTATTTATTAAAGGATAATGATTATAAGCAAAATTTAGAGAGGGGTTTGGAGGGAAGATAGAAGACGTGAACGAAGAAGAAGAAGAAGATATTCACATGGGTGTCGTAGTATGTTTGGGGATTGAAGAAACATAACACATTGACCCTTTTCTTGTCAGCGCCATTAACTTACCTCTCTCTCTGGTTCTCTTTGTTTCATTCTTAACTCTAAATTAAATGAAGAAAGAAGGAAAAGAGAGGAAGAAACAAAACCGTTTCAAGTTCTTTTGATGTATTTTTTCTTTCTTTCTCTGTTTGTTAATGTTAATGGGTGTTTGGTCATTTTTATTTTAATTATTTTAATTTTTTAATTTCAGTTGGCCATTGTTCAAATCAGATGGTTGAACTATTGACCTAAAAACCGATGGCCAAAGTGGTCTTGGTTCTAGGTCAATTTTTAAAACCTTAATAATAATAATAATAATATTATTATTATTATTACTTTTGAAGCATTAATAATTTATTACTAGCCATATTTATTGCAATAATAATCAAGAATTAGTGTCATATATTGTTATTAATATTTCATTTTTATTGTAATTTACTGTTATTTTCTTAGTTTTAATTATTAATTATTGAAAATAATAAAATTTAGTGTAATATATTGTTCTTTCAATACTTAATTTTTTATTGTAATTTAGTGTTCTTTTTTACATTTAATCATTATTTATAGAAATTATCAAAAATTAGTATAAATTTATGAAAAACTAATTAGGACCTGTATGACGCACATGCTTTGTTAAAAGAATTTGAGGCAAGAGGATCTAGGGGTGTAACTTGGGTGGACCCAATTTGAGCCTGACCTAACTCAAGCAAAACTTTGTACAAGTTGGACTTGAGTTTTCAAACATCAAACTATCATAGGTAGAAAAAGTCTAGCCTAATTCAAACTCATGTTTGTCTTGGGTTGAAACCTTGGGTAGCATAAGACCAATCCAACCCAAATTGAGCCCACCAACATTTTATGATATATATGAATGGCAACGGGGCGGGGAGCCTCTCTCCATCCCCGTTTCCACAAAAATCCCCATCTCCGTTCCCGTCCCTGTTCTTGTCCCCACTAATTAAAATTTACAATTTTATTAGAAAATATTCTAACATATTCAATCATATTTTTAAAATATTAATACATAAACATATATGTGTGTATATTTACATACATACAGATATAAACTTATGTGTGTGTGTGTGTATATATATATATATATGTATGTATTAGTGGTGAACCCACAGGGCGGGGAGTGTTGTCCTCATCCCCGCAGGGGGAAAATCATCCTCATCTTTGTCCGGTTGTCCCATTTAGGATGGATCTCTATAGAGATCGGGGAAATGGGAAAAATTGCCATCCTTTAAGTTGATATACATATTTGCATATTATTAATATATATTCTAATTGAAAATTCAGACAAAACTCTATCCCCCCAAACCTAATTAAGCCCAACCCGAGGTGTTTGGTTAAGCTTGGGGGTTGAGCTGGATCGGGTTTAGCTGGGCCCATCCAAACTGCAACCCTAAATCTTTTTGCCACAATTTTTTTAACAAAACCACTAGTAAATGCTAAGCCTCTTCTCACTTTTCTCAAATTGATCTTCTCCGTTGGGTGATGTCATAGACAAACACATTTGCATGTGATGTCATTTCTTTTCAAAACCCCAAATTTGCCCCTTTATGATCCTTAGACTATGACTCAGAAAACAAGAATGATACAACTAGAAACTAACTAGAAAAGCCCAAACAAAAACAACAGCAAAAAGGTTTGGCAGAATTTTTCTTTAAAACTGTATTTTAATGATTATCTCTTGTTTATAATGCTTTCAATCTTGTGTTTTAGCTAGTGCTGTGTTTAGAAACGAGGCAAATAAATGTGAATGTAAATATTTAGTGTAAAACGGTCCATATAAATTGTAAAGTTGGGTTAGTTTTACATTGACAAATTTATTTTCTTACCAAACATACTTTCAGCTGTAATGGATACAAACACAAATTCCAATAAAATATATGCCTTTTTTAATCAAAAACCCACTTGAATGCAAATTTACTTCTTTTTTATTGATATATGTTTACATCTCAATATCGATGTAACTATACATTGGAAAACATGTTTTCTGTCATTTGTCAATGCATAAATGCATTGTTACCAGACACAATCAAAACTAAATTAGAGTACAAATTTATCCTGAACTGGGATTTACACTCCATTTACATTGTTTCAGTCTTACAGATTATTAAGATTTAGGCTGTTTTCCAGCGAGGTTACTAACCATACATCCTCTATCACCAATCTCTTTGGCGAATCTCTTGACTAGTTAGCAAGGAAAACAGCCTCAAAACCTCCCAAGCATCAGTTCCCCTCTAGTTGGTCAGTCATCCAGAAACAGATCAAGTCTGTAACATAAAGAAGTTGACTAACCAAACAAACAAAACCTCCACCACCTCAACAAAGAAACCTATCATTAATGTACCGGAGAATTTTGAGTAATCACTCCACACATATCCCATAAAATCTTTTAATTGGTGTTTTTTCAGAACCCAATTCATATTGAGATAACTTCCTTTTTCCTCCTTTTTCTTTTTAGATTTGGGATTTATTTAATCTCTTTGAGAACAGTTAAAGGATTACACTTTGTGTGATGACGGGCTCTTTGTGAGG